GTTCATTAGATAATTGCATTAATGAGAAATTGAACAGGTGTTCCTAATAATCCTTTAGGTGAGTGTATCTTTCGCAAACTAAATTGCTTAATATGGCCTTGTTGCCCAGGCGAATTAGGAATGTGCCAGTTTTGTGATACTTGTTGAGGAAGCCTAGTCTGAGATTCAGCCGCATAAAGCATCCCACCGTATTAATGCAGAGATTTGTGAGCCATGTACAAAATGCTAATTTGTCAGAGAGCTCGTGGTGCAGCCGGAGGGTACAAAGATGCAAGCATTGTACTGGTAGATTATACGCCGTTACAACACTAAAGTGAAAAAGCCCATTTCCTCTTTCCCATTTTCCTCAAAATCACTACTCTCAAAGAAAGTTCCTGATAAATATGAAACCATAAAGAGTAATTGTTACTTTGTCACCATTATTCTTCAATATACTGTATTGTTCAATGTCTTAATGCACACAAGTTGTTTTAATGTTGCTGCAATTTAAAACAGTACCACCTTTCCGCTCGTTGCAGTTCTAGTTAACATTATTGATTTTTTTTTTGTGTGTACAATGTCTTTGTAAATAATTCCAAAAGTACCAAATTTGTATCATCAGAATATTTTAATAGTATGTCCAAAGTTATTCAACAAAAAAACAAACAAACTATGACCTGGATAACATTACATGCACCCTTTCCTAATATTTGATTGCACAGCCCTTAGTAACATTGACAGCCTCCAAACACTTCTTGCAGCTCTCTGTGAGCTTCCTGTGCCTGCCTGTGAGCTTCCTGTGCCTGTCTGTGAGCTTCCTGTACCTGTCTGCGGGTGGTGTCTCCCACTCTTTAATTGTAATTTGTTCCAGTTCTTCAGTGCTTACAGGATTGCAGATTCCAGCGCATTCCAAAGATTTTCAGTTGAACTTGAGATCAGTATTCATTGCTGGCCAGTTAAAGGGAGTATTTTTTTTTTTCTTTTTCAGCCCCTTGTTTATACTTTTGAATGTGTGTTTTGGTTGACTGTCCTACCAGATGACCCATGATCTACCAGTGAAACCGAGTTTTCTGTCACTGGGCAGCACATTAAAAGGTGTATCAACATTAAAATGTTAAAATGTTTCAGTAATGTTTCAGCAGTGGTCTCCTCTGTGGCCTTTGTCCAAAAAGCCCTCCTTGCTTTAGTGTGCAGTGTACTGTATGGGATAAAACTAACACACCATACTGCTCCAGATCAGCCTTAAGCTCTGTGGATGTTTTATGTGGTGTTTTTTCCACAATTCGCACCACCTTCAAAGGATTTTCAGATCCAGTGTTTCCCAACCTGGTCCTGTGGGAAACCCAGACAGTCCACGTTTTTGCTCCCTCCCAGCTCTCTGCCAGACAGCCCACATTTTTGCAAAAACGTGGACTGTCTGCAAGTCCCTGAGGACCGAATTGGGAAACACTGCTCTGATCGATTTTCTTCTTTCCATGGCGTCCCATGCGGAGCTAACATTGCAAACTTTTGAGAGAGGGATGCCACGGCCTTTCAAGACGGCCCTGTACCCTTTAGAATTCTAATTCTCTGTGAAAATAACATTTCTGAAGCTCCCAGATAGCTGTCTTGCCTTTACCATTTTAAAAAAGGAACTGGGACTGAAAGTGGCCCTTTTAAGCTTTAAAGGTGTGATTCATTGGGTTATTCAACATATATGAACACTGAATATTTATTACAGGTGAGTCTAATTTCATTGCAATGATAAGCTAGTTGGTTTTTTTTTCCCCAAAAGTGATTTGCATTAAAAATTGTGTCAATAATTGTGTCATGGAAATGTTTTCATTTTCATACTTTTTCCTCTCATTCTTTTTTTTCTTTTTTTAATTGTTATTGTTTTAAGCTGCACTGTTTATTTATTTTAGAAATAAGCTGAGATACTGTACATGATGTATGTAGAATTCATAGGTGCCAATGTTGACCAGAACTTGTACAATGTGTAAAAAAGGCTTCGTTAATCTCACCGTTGAAGTTTGAGTGATATTTGTCTATTGTCCTTTTATGAGCTCCGCCCTCAATTATTGAAAAATAATTTTAGAATAATTAAATCTGTGTAGGCATAACAAATGTGGTTCTATATCATCATTTATAACTCTCTGTGTAGTTAAATGCAGACCAAAAGTTATACTGATCTCTCAGAATTCTTGTCTCAATAGGTACAAGTGTATCGAACTGTAATGTATTGGACAGAATGTTGTTTGTTGGACAGTCTTTCATTGAGATTAAAGGAACACACTGAAGCAATATGCAGACTGATTTGACCCTACTGCCCTCTAGGGGATGTGCAACAAAATGCGAACAGGGTTGGTCAGACTCTTCCAACTGCCTTCTGGATATTCTATACATTTTAAGGACTGACACCTGAATACCTAACTTCAGTTAAGGTGTGAAAAAATGTGGGTAAACACTGAAGTATGTGCAGTTTTGAAGTAATTTGAAACCTTCAATCAGAATTAAACACAAACACTGAGAAACAAAGTAAGCTACAGATTTCCTTCATTTGGGACCAAAACCTTAGGAATCAACATAGATGTTCAGCTAGTATGAAAGACTTTATATAAATGTTAGCTGACAGTTTAGTTAGTGATTTTACGATGGCAAACGAAAAACGTTTGTAACAAATATATACCTAAATAAAATGCACTGTAAGAAAGATCAGAAAGTGGCAGATATGGACACTGGGATGCTGAATATGTGAGTATGAAACAAAACACACATTATACTTCCTGGATTAGGGTTTTATTTTTATGTCACACAGAAGAATGTTTTTAAACGTAAAACTGAGACTCTAAAGTCTACGACCTCAATCAAAGCATGTAGGAAAACAGATGTAATGCACAGATAAATCCACAGATTGAAGACGTCATCGTGTCCCATACTTAGGCTGAGACAGGCCCTGGCACCCTGGTTTGTTTCTCTGTGTCATTGGTCCACAGGTGCACGTTTTGCTAGCTTTACTTTGCATGCTATATTAGCAAAGTCTCCCGCAGCATATATACAGTATATATAACACAGAAGGTTACTGGAAATGTGCTTATTCGTTTGTGACCAGCTGTTGTTTGAAAGATTTAAGCTAGTCCATCGGGGTGCTAAGAAATTCCTTGAGACTGATGCGCAGGAAGAGCAGTGACATCTGACTGATGAAGAAGTCGAAGGGTGCCCCCTGCAGGTTGGGAGGACAGACGAGGTCCTGGGGGTGGTCACTTGTCCTTCGCGTACCCTACAAGTTGGGTACTCAGCTCCCAGAGTTTCAGAGCTACGAGGTCATCCTTTCCTTCTGGGGCTGGCTCCTTTACCGTACAGTCACTGAGGAGTGGGAAAAGAGAGTGCTTAGTAGACAACCACAACAACACTATATATGCAGTTATATAAATTAAATTCATCCACCTTTAGTCAGCACATCTAGACAAAAGGGTCTTCATGACATTGTAATAATTCAGTGTTGTAATTTGTCCCAAAAGTGGTAGGGTATTGATACGAAAAGCAGAGTACTGTTCTACCAGGTTGACATTTTCTAACAAACAGTAGCAAATCTGGACTATGCTGATTGATGTATTTCTAGGATGGTATTTGGCTAATTATCGCATCTATTGCCGATGTCCTCGTAATGAATCTCCTGCCAATTGACTATGATCTCAATGTGAAAAGAGCTACCGTACTGTACCTAAAATAACAGCCGGACTTTTTCTCCAGGTCTTCAGCCACGGCGCAGTAGACGGAGGTCTGGGCGCCCTCTCTGGGGGTCTTCAGCAGGAGCACGGCTGGGAGGTACAGCAAGCAGTACAGCAGGGGGCGCCTGCTCCCCACGTGGCGACCCAGCTCCGTGCGAATCACACCGGGGTGCAGGGAGAACGATGACACGCCACTCCCTGGGCGGGGGCACAGGGAACAGAGTGTGTTCTGGAAATATTCTCAATTTGTCAAACATGGCTGGGTACCATCGTCGTACCCAGAACACCAATTTGTCAAAAAAAAAACAAACTGGTCATTAGTTAATGTCCTAGACCAGTGGTTCTGAACCTGTGGGTCGCGACCCACCCGGGAAGCTGCTGTCAAATACTGGGGATGATACACAAGATTTTCTGCATATGCTTAAAAAATTTTAAAACCTGTTTTTGGTGCCACTTGACAGGTAACATTGTTTGCAGTCCATTATCATATTTTATTATCAGGGCCCCCCCCCCACCAGGAACCACTGTCGTATACAAAAAACAACAGCAGGATTGCCCATGTAACAGCAATGCCCTGCAGAAGATGCCTCCAGAGCCGCCTCTTCCAGGAACTCCTCAACTAGCCTGATCCCGCTCTACATTTCCTGAACGTTCTTAATCTTATTAATCTCATTAGGTTAAGAACCTAGGTTATTAGGTACTTGCTTTGTTTGTAAGACGCTGTGTAGCTTCTGCTCCAAAACTGCTTACACGTGTACCTGGGCATACATTGGAAGCTCAGCCTCGCTGAACTTACGCCAAGTCAACTCCTCCACTGCACAGATGTTTCTGATTTGCTATTTGCTTCACTAGTACATTGCTTAGCGTCTCCTAAACAATAAATGTAAATATCAATGCTCAGATGGTAGCATAATGGAATGTCGCAGATATTTCCCTAAATACTTATTACGAAGACGCTTATCTTATTGATTAACGATGTGGGTATTTTATAGAAAGTATTACGAGACACACAGAGTTCACCCCAGAGACTAGGAGGGCTTGACCTTTAACCCTGCGGGCCAACTCCCTGGCAAAGAGGATGTTGGCCAACTTGCTCTGTCTGTAGCTGGTCAAGGGGTTGTATGGTGTCTCATTGAAGTTAATGTCCTCAAAGTGGATTTTCCCTGTGGGAAGAGACACCAGATAAATATATGGGAAACAACAACAACAATTTTCATTTATATAGCGCCTTTCATCAAACCAAGGACGCTTCACAGAGGAAGCAACTACCGGTAGCCATGTAGGAAAGGGAACAAAACATCTCCGGGTGTCGGGGATTAAAAAGGAACTGCAGATGTATTGTTCATGTGTCACTTAATCCAAACTGCTTGTGTACAAACTGGGGAGACGCCTTCGGATTCTGCCCCTCCCCCCCCTCCTCACCGCCTTTGTGGGTCATGCTGCTCACGGTAACGACACGACTGGGTACGCAGCTCTTCAGCTTCTCCAGGAGCAGCGTGGTCAGCAGGAAATGACCTAAGTGATTGACTGCCAGTTGAGTCTCAAATCCATCCTCTGTTAGAGACTTGGGGCACATCATCACTCCTGTGTCAGAGAGGAGGAGGATGAGATTGAGTGAACCGCAGACTGGTATCCTGTCCTGGGTTATCCCTGTGCTTACTGGGATGGCCCTGTACTGGATAAGCAAGTATGGAAGATGGATGGACAATTAATGGTTTCTTGCCTTTTAGTTACTCACCAATATATAGTTGTCACATACTGATTATGATCATTTAGATTATTCAACAAATTATATTTTATTTAATTAGCATACATTTTTATTCAGAGTGACGTACAACTGAGAAGGCATGTTGGGGGCCTTGCTCAGGGGCCCAATGGTAACATCACTAATCCAATACTGGGATTTAAACCAGCAACCTTCTGATGACAGGTCCAGTCTCATCACCCACTAACCCAGACTAATGCCACCAGTCCACCTCACTCACCGGCATTGTTGATGAGGACGTCGAGCCGCTCCTCGCTGCGGGTGTAGCGCTTGGCAAACTGGCGCACAGAGGAGAGCGACGCCAGGTCCAGATGCTGCACCACCACGTCCCTGTTCCCAGTAGACCGCCGGATCTCATCCGCTGCTCTCTCTGCTCGGCTCAGGTCCCGGCAAGCCATTATCACGCGAGCCCCTGGAACAATCCGACAGCTCAGATTTAAGAACGCCGTGCATGCATTTTTCAGCAGTTACTTTTATACATTCCAGATTCATCTCGCTTTTATCTCACCATGTCATACATATCGACTCTTGTCTGAAATCAAACTATGGATGAGCAAAAATTATCTAAAACTTAAGTGATAAGATGGAATTAATTGTCATTGGGACAAAATCCACACTCAACAAAATTACCCCGATTATCTGCAAATTGGACCACACCACCATCTCCTCCTCTCCTCTGATCTGCAACCTTGGTGTCACCTTTGACCCAACCCTCTCATATGACAAATACATTCCACAGTAAACACAGCTTACTACCCCCTTTGCAACACCACCTGCCTTTGGTCCTGCCTTTCTTATTCTGCTGCTGAGTTCCTCATTCGTGCCTTTATCTCTAGCCATCTTGACTGCTGCAACTCACTACTCACTGTTCTCTCAAGAAACTCCAGAGAGTGTAGAACTCTGCTGCCCGCTTTCCTCTCCCACACTTGCTCCTACCAGCACATCATGCCCATACTTCAGGGCCTGCACTGGCTCCCTATTAAAGAGCGCATCCACTTTAAAATGCTGCTCCTGACATTCAAAGCTCTTAATAACCAAGCCCCATCATACCTTTCTGAACTGCTATTCTCGTACCAGCCTCCCTGCAGTCTTAGATCCTCCTCTTCTGGCTCTCTCCTCACCCCCCCCAAACTCCAAGGTGACTGCGCATTTTCCATTTAGCTCCCCCACTTTGGATCTCCCTCCCTACTGCTATTTGTCCGTCGATCTCGGTCTCAGATTTCAAAACCAAGCTAAAATTTTTATGTTTTCTCAAGCGTTTAACCTTCTTTGTCTGTAATGTTTTGATGTTTTTGTTTTGTTTGCTTTATCCTATGTCAGCGTCTTTGAGATCTTGTAAAAGCGCTATATAAATAAAATGTATTATGATTATGGTTATTATTATTATTACTAATTGCCCACACAAGGCACAATAATAACATTGTTACTATTGCTACTAAATCAGATTTATTTCTGAGCCATTACAATGGGATTCTGCGTTATTGTTCCCCTAACAATCTTTGCACAGTTACTGTTCATTTTTGTCTATTATTCATTGTTACTGGCTCTGTATCATGAAGCAGGATTTCTGGCTGAGCCGGATAACTTGTCAGATTTTAGGTGGACTGAGTTAAATGTAAGAGAACAAAGTCCATTTAAACCAGGGCACCTTAAATCTGACGAGGTATCCGGCTCAGCAGCAAGTCTGACTTCGTGATACAGGTCCACTGTCTATTAATGTCTAAATGGCTTTTTACTGTTTAAATGTGTGTATTCAGCTACTGTAAATTTGCAGCTTCCATTGGGATTAATAAAGTATATCTATCTATCAAGCATACTGTAAAAAAAAATAATCATCATAAAAGAAGAAGAGGTAGAAAAGTCGAAAGTTGAAAAACGGGTACCATAAGTAAAAATATGGTAAAAATAAGGTCAGCCATTAGGAGCCTGGAGTTCCACCATAGGAAGTACCCTGGACAGAGTGCCAGTCTATCACTGGCCACACGCTACGGTCTATTTCAAGATGCCAAATCACCTAAGGACATCTTTGCATTACGACAGGAAAGCCAAACTACACAGGAAGAAATACCACATACCTATAAAATTGGGGGTAAAATTTGAATGTGCAATATTTATGGTTCTGCCCCAGTAAAATATCGAATATGCCGCCTACCTCTGCCTGCCAGGTCTCTTGCTGTTTCCTTGCCAATGCCCGTGTTGGCCCCAGTGATCAGTACGGTTTTCCCATGGAGAAGACTCTTGCTGCGGCACACGCCACCGGCCAGCCACTTCCTAAGCAGGGCAACACCTGGATTTAAGCACAGAGGTACAGGACCGCAGGTCTGGCCGTTCTAGCAATTCCAATACTAAGTCAAATCCCGGGGCTTCAGTATCTCCCTGCACACAGCAGCGAGTTAAGGCTGGACAGTCGGCCCTTCTACGGAGCCCCGAGCTCGGCCACAAAGGTGAACAAGTCCCACCAGGCACATAGCCACGAAGCAAAATTATGGTGTTCAACAGCGAAATTTTTTACGCAAATAGTCTATGTTGTTTATCTATTATTATTATTATTAGTAGTAGTAGTAATAGTAGTAGGATTATTAATAACATCAATAATAATAATATTTTTGTGGCATATATGTAACATTTTAAATTAGTAGCATTATATAACTGGATAACGTGTTTGTTTAAAATATACGTTTTCACAGACGCGGTTTACTAAGATCAAGTGAAGAAACAGAGGATCCATGTGACGTAACCTACCGATAGCTGTCAGAGCAGCAATACCGTACATCTCAAGTTCGCTGGAGTTCACGCCTTCCCACATCTTGCGAGTACGCGGTTGATACAGACCTGCCTCTTTGTTAACTAGCCTTTCGACAGCGTTATGACCCTGTTCAGTCATCCACCTTGACAGCTATGATTAGGTCTAAGAAATGCAATAAGCTGGTTTAGCAGCAGCCTTCCTCAGCTTACGCGCAGATTATGCCGAGTCATTTTTCATGAATATTGCGGTAGATCCGCATTTATATTGTGCAAAATTATCCACGAATGTATGCTAAATTGTAAGCCTAATTTTATTAGTTTTATTTGAAACGATATGTATGTGTGTGTGTGTGTGTGTGTGTGTGTAATGTGCTGTAAAATTATGCAACTCATTTTGCGCAAGTTTTTGTTGACGAGTAGTGTGTAATATTTATGCTGTAGGAGGCTTCACAGTTAAAGGTTTGTGTCATATTTGGGAATATAACTAAACTTTGTAATGTAGGTAATTACACCGCATACCCAAGAAAAGATAGGCAACCCAAAGTGCAGCAGTACAGGCAGCAGACAAATGCAGAAGCCGAGGCTGCAGAGTGCCCGTCTTCCTCTTTGGAGGGCCAACCATTTTGCCTTGACCCTCCTCATCGGTAGGGGGCAGTGTGACAATCCTTGACGATCCACCATTCAGACCTTTAATCGCTTTGCTTAAGGGCACGAAAATGTGTAATGTTAGTAATATTTTGGAAGCAATCAGTGTCTGCTCTTTTGGTGATGGTATAATTTTGATTGCCGTATTGTGGGAATGAAAATTCTAACAAAACAGACTTTTAATTGTATTCACTGACTTTAATCGTCAAATACGTAATTGCAACGGAAAACGGATGGATTGAAAGCTTTGAACCAACAGAGTTGCATAGCCTAAAATTCTTACAGTTGAATCTCACCCCTAACATATTTTAGTCAACTTTTAAAACCGGTTCTGAATACCAAATCTGTAGTATTTAGCAACATTTAATTTATTCAGGTATTTGGTTTCTTTGGATTCAAGATTTTTAGACCTTGACATGTACCAGTCGTCAAGGTAAGAAAGTGTAAGTTTAATTACTTATGCGGAAAAAATAGGACAGTTAACAGGAAACTCCATACAGAAAATGCGACGGGTAGTATGTAAACATGACTAAATTGACTAATTTAATTATTTTCCTACTTATATTTTCACATATCATGAAAATGTTGCATAACAAAAATCTCACCAGCATTGAATGATACTACAAATAAATGCTAGTGTCTTGACTTTATATATGTATGTATATTTGTTTTGAAAATCATTAAAGTGTTTGTATACTACTATTGCACAATTCATAATACATTTAATAGGATTTTAAACAAAAATGACTGTATAGCTAATTAAAATAAGCGTGGCATTTTTTAATGACGCAAGTAATTGCTCCGCCCATTTTGAAAATCGCAACCAATTAGAAAGTGTTATATTAAAACGGAAATGACGCGTATAGATGTTTCCACGAATAAGAAAGAGGGAAAAACGTCTCCACCTCTGTGCTGTAATTTGTTTTCAGTTGTTGTATAAGCTTACGTTGATTTTCGAAGAATTGCATTGAATTTATAAATGCATTGACTAGAAATATTCAACATAAGTTTAAAAGGTGAGTGTTATATATGAACGTTTTGTGGATTATCCTAAGGTGGCGTATTTGAGTCAAAAAGTGCAAAACTCGTGCAACAAAAGTGTAATGCTAACGTCGCGCTACAATGAGGCATTCCATTTAGGTTAGCAAGACGCTACAGTTCTTTGCGCCTTACAGGAAGTGTACGTTTGTTGCATGTGAACTCGCCATTAACACGCAGCCATAGAAAATGCAACCGGTTTAAAAAGCAGTGTCTAATCGAACAACAAACATACAGTTAAATCTCTAAGATTGTTCCAAGACTGGGTATACATTTCATTATATGTTCATTGTGGTTTAATTCGACAAATGCGTTGCGTGCTTGTAGTAAACGTTTGTAGTTGCATGCAGTGTTCAAGTAAGAAAAATGGTCACGTGATAGTCACAAACGATTGTACCTAAATCATATAAGATCATCATAATGTTACGAACATTTCCATAGTAAATATTTTATTATAAAAAGCATACATAGTTAATGTTGCTTTTTCAGATTCCTGCATTTTAGATTTAGGCAAAAGGCAACTAAAAGGGCAAAATCACTGCTACAGTTTAAGCCTATCAAATATTTTGCAAACGAAACTGGTGATATGAATAACTTATTACGCATTGGAAGAATTCACATATTCAGTGCCTGCATAGTGTCATAAAATTCTAAAATGTCAGTGTTGCTTAGTTGCTGGTATGTTTCTTGTGCATTTTATAAATAGTGTTTTCAATATTTATAGTTACTAATAATTATTCTTGCCATGTTTCACGGATTTCTCCTGTCCCATAGTCCAAATGCATGCTGTTAAGTTGATTGGCATCTTGAAATTGCCTGTAGTGTATAATTATATCAGTGTGTAAGTGTGTGTGCCCTGTGATGGACTGGCATCCCGCAGCCCTGACCAGGATAGTTGGGTGGTTGGGGGAATGGATGTTACACTGTAAACAGTATATTCCCTTCAGTTAGTTGTATAAAGCTGGAAACATTCTTGGCACAGAATTAATGCACTAATGATAAATAGTAGATACAGTAATAATTGTCAATAAAATAGTAATTTTAAATGAAACTTTTTACAGTAACATGCATATTTTCAGCATTGATATTGAACATTGATAGTGAACAACTTGGTGGTTTTTCTAATAAATGTATTCATTTACTGCACAAATATTAAACATGATATATTACCGAAAAAACCTATGGGCACACCTACCAGTTTAGCAGTATTAAGACGTGGCCATTTACCCAACGCTTAGCTTAGCTGCACTTTTGCCTAGTTTACTTCGTGACCTCTGTATGTTTGTAATGTACTATCTGCCTCGCTTGAGCATCACTTTGGACAAAATTGCCTTGCAAAATAAAAGTAAATATAAAATGCACAGTTCTGTGGCGGCAGAGTGTGTAACTCAGTGGGTTAGGATTTTGTGCCTCTGATCAGAAGGTCGTTGGTTTAAATCTCAGTGTCGGCAGAGTGACGTCACCGTTGGGCCCCTGAGCTCCAGGCATCAGCTGACCTTGATTTCTCAACGTTATATCGCTTTGGGTAAAAGCGGCTGCTGAATAAATGAACGGGTATATATATTTTGAAGAGTTTCGATTGGTGACTTTTGCTAGCAGAATGGCGGACTCTGACCTGTTCATGGAGTGTGAGGAAGAGGAGCTGGAGCCGTGGCAGCAGGTGAACGATGATGTGGATGATGAAGAAATGAACTTTGAGGAGAGTAGTGTGGATGTAGGTGAGTGGTCACATGACCCACACACCTGACAGTGTGCACTTTGGGTTTCCCATGCTGCCTCAGTACCTGGGTTACTCCCGAGATTTGTGCAAGTGTGGCTTGCCTAGCTCTTTAGCTCACCTGAGTTTCCTGTCCACCTCCCCCCCCCCCCCCCCCCCCCCCCGTGCCTTTTTATAGCGCCTCCTGCTGGTGATGTGGCAGCCCCATCTGCCATCGTCCCGGCCCCTGAGATGCCCGCCCATACCTCGTCCTCCAGTGAAGGAATAAAGTCTTTTGTCACGTTGCTTCCCAGCAGTGCAAGTCAGTGAGATTTTTCTCTGTATTTTTCTCTGTATTTTAGCTGCTGACGTTCTGTCAAACAGTGTGAAAAAACGGTTTAGTTTTACACTGTGTCTAATCTGACCAGGATGTTGAGCAAAGGGACAGAATATGGGAGAGAGTTTTAATAAACGGAAGAATCATTGAATGCTGATCTAATATCCATCCATTAAACAGGAATTAAAACTTTGGGTGTCAAGTTGACTGTAATTACTCCGGTTCAATTATGGATGTGACCTCTGACCTTTTCCGCCATTTTTTTTCCCCCCCACTGCTTGTTCTTCAGCTCCTGTCTCTCTGACCTGCTCCATAGTAGCCCCATCCAGTACATCTTCGCTGGTGTCCCCCGTAACCCCTCAGATCACCTCAGGCCAGAAGCTGATCCTGACACGGGGCCCTGGAATGTTGGGGTCACTGACCGTGTCCCAGGTGCTCCAGCCTCTGCAGGTGGTCTCCGGAGAAGGCGGCACCATCGGACCTGCCCATTTCATCTCTACGCAGGTATTGTCCCCTGTCCCAGAACTGCTGGAGAGCTGATCACTTAGTCATGAAAAAGAAATCAAACCATCCTTGAGGCTTGATGAGCTTCACTCTGCATGTTATCATACTATCAATCATTCTAATGTTGTAATGCTTCAGAGATTCCTGTCAGCAGCATTGATCTAGGCTTTTACAATGCTCAAAAAAATTAAAGGAACACTTTTTAATCAGAGTATAGCATCAAGTCAATTAAACTTCTGGGATATGGACGTGGTCAGTTAAGTAGCAGAGGGGGTTGTTAATCAGTTTCAGCTGCTTTGGTGTTAATGAAATTAACAACAGGTGCACTAGAGGGGCAAAAATGAGACAACCCCCAAAACAGGAATGGTTTAACAGGTGGGGGCCACTGACTTTTTTCCCTCCTCATCTTTTCTGACTGTTTTTTCACTAGTTTTGCATTTGGCTACAGTAAGTGTCACTACTGTTAGCATGGAGCGATACCTGGACCCTACAGAGGTTGCACAGCACAGTCAAACTCCTCCAATTGCCAGAAGGTTCGCTGTGTCTCCCAGCACAGTCTCAAGGGCATGGAGGTGATTCCAGGATACAGGCAGTTACTCTAGGAGAGCTGGACAGGGCCATAGAAGGTCTTTAACCCATCAGCAGGACCAGTATCTGCTCCTTTGTTCAAGGAGGAGCAGGAGGAGCACTGCCAGAGCCCTACAGAATGACCTCCAGCAGGCCACTGGTGCGAATGTCTCTGACAAAACAATCAGAAACAGACTTCATGAGGGTGACTTGAGGGCCTGACGTCCTCTAGTGAACCCTGTGCTCACTGCCCAGCACCGTGGACCTCGATTGGCATTTGCCATAGAATACCAGAATTGGCAGATCCGCCACTGGCACCCTGTGCTTTTCACAGATGAGAGATGTGAAAGGATTTGGTGACCGGTTTGGTGGTGGGTCAGTGATGGTCAGAGGAGGCATATCCATGGAGGGACACACAGACCTCTACAGGCTAGACAACAGCACCTTGACTGCCATTAGGTATCAGGATGAAATCCTTGGACCCATTGTCAGACCC